TTCACTGTTGACGAAATCATTTCCCGCGAAAGGTTACGAACGTAAAATTGAAGAATTTTCAATCTTTTCAAAATATTTATTCTAAGTTTCACTGTAATAAATGGACTCTCAGTCATAAAACTTTCGCTGCTTTTGACGAAATCTTTTCCTGGGAGATGCCTCGAGCGTAAAATTGAAGAATTTACAATCTTTAATTATCAGAGGAAACGGATTTCGACAAAATTATCTGGTACATACACATCATCTGGTACAACAAAATNTTTCAATCTTTTCAAAATATTTATTCTAAGTTTCACTGTAATAAATAACTGTCATAAAACTTTCGCTGCTTTTGACGAAATCTTTTCCTGGGAGATGCCTCGAGCGTAAAATTGAAGAATTTATAATCTTTAATTATCAGAGGAAACGGATTTCGACAAAATTATCTGGACGTAATACATCAATTAACAAACGTCATAAGGAAGTACTAAAAGAAAAAGTGATTGAACGAAAACTCAGTATCTGCCGGGATTTGAAGCCGGATGACCTGCTCGTCAAACCTCGTCATACCTCCAACCCTTTGTCACACGTTGCAAACGATTTTGAAAGAAGATGAGCTAGTTAAGATAAAAACATGCCCTAAGAGATCCCAGTATACACACGAATGAATATCAATTCTGTCAAGTATTTGAGATTTATTGCTTCATCACGAAATCACGCGATTTCGTGAAGAAATTAGATTCAAAAATTACAAAATACAACTCAAAGATTTGTGAATCTTCAAACAGGAGAGTTTTGTATCTGATGTGCTAATAATGAATTATTTTGTAAGGAAAACAACTTCTTAACATTTATATACAAAGTAATGTATCAAAATAATATGTAAATATAATTTAATGGATCATGTGATTTTAACATACAAACTGCCTGCTAAAAGAAGAATGCAAACAAAATTGCTTTGTTCTTTTTTAATCAACTTAATAATCGTGTCATGTCTCTTTAGAAAAAAATTCTTAGCAGAACTTTAGAATGTTTCTTCAGAACAAATGAAAAGGGAATTAAATGCATATTCAATAAATCAATCTCTTTTAAACAAATATCTACATAATAAATTAAAAAGAGTATTATTTATTGCTTTATCGATCGTCCTAAATAATTCTCAAATTACTTATAAGCGAAAGAAGCTTATTCTCAAGGTTATAGACATTAATTGTTACTAACGTTTTTGTATTTATTTATTTTTTTAAATATTAAAAAAAAATTAAAAATAATAGTTGATTGAAAATTGATCAAGCTGGTGTTCTTCCAATATTTTAATGTAAGTTTTTTTTTTAATTTATGCCTGGTTGTAAAAAACATTTTTTCGTTCAATAACAAACATTTAGTCTCTTAATTAGCTTATCTGATGAATTTCGAAATAGTTAAGGAAAATAAATGTAAATAAACTGAGAGTAGCCTGATTTCATTTACTGAGGTAATTAAGTTTCTATCAGTGTTTTAGTACTCAAATTCCGACGTCCCTTTGTATTTCTGTGGCTCTCTATATAAAAACCACCATTAATATGCATTTTTAAAGCTTTTCTTAAAAATGAAGTAAAATAGCATAAACATTATAAGTCTTAATTATTACCAAGAAAATATAAAGAAAAAAACTCATCTATCGAACGAAAAAAAAAACTGAATTGCAACGAATCAATAGCAAGTAGAATAAGAGTAAAAGTTTGATTTCCAGAAAAGAAGCAGAGAGTTTGAAAAATTTGAAAGAATACCAAGTTTTTGTTTCAATCAAACTAGATTTGATGCTTTTTTCTGCTTTTATCACTAGTGATTCGACAGATTTAAATAACTATTTTTTTCTTCCTAACTTAACTTAATGTCTCTGATGGTTTTTTTTTTTTTTTTTTTTTTTTTTTTTTTNTTTGTCTTTTTTACTTCATTTTTGACAAGGAACTTAAAAATACACATTCCGTGGTGGTTATTTTAAAACACCTGTGTATAGATATTAGTTTGGGAAATTAATTATTGATTTGTGGGTATTTATTTTGATAATAAAATGAGAAATTATAAGAGCTTTTTTTAGGTAAAATAAATACCGAATCAGATAATATAAAGTCTTTTTAAATGAATATGAACGAAAAATTCGAGCGTAATTTGAAAACCACTTTACAGTAAAGTACACAGTAGAAAATTTTGGTACAGAATTAATTGGAATATAATTGATATATATTTGATATGGTGCCATTTTTGATGTTGCGTAAGCAAATATATTTATAAGTAGATAAAACTGCAGCTCTCCTGCAAAAAAATATCGAAAATTGACGAAAAAGAAATTGTGCGAATATATTACTGAAAATGAGCTTTTTTTCAACGGAATGTTTTTGCAATGAATCCATCAAATTGATTCAGATGCGCCTGAAAGCGTGTGTTGTCCGTAGACAAGCGAACCGAAAATAAATAAATAAGTAAGTAAAACTATAGCAGGGAAAAGTAAATGAAAAACGTGACTGCATGCACTGTAAACAATTTTAGTTTACCTCAACACTGAAAATAGTCAACTATGCATCAGATTTTTTTTTACAGTATTTAATTCTGGGGGAGAATAAAAATTTAATTAGTCAATAAGGCAATTAATTAGTCAATAAGACATTTAATGTTTTCTAGACAGGAAAGTGTGGTATTTTTATGGGATGTATTTTCTTACGATGGTTTGAATGTCGCCTATCCCGAGTCGATGTAAGGTTTTGTGTGCATAAAATACAGTTTTGTACTTGTATGTAATTCCTCATCTGAAATTGCTATCTAAACAAGTGAGTGATTGTTTCTTATGTATTTTTTACCTTGAACTGAATGCTGCACTATATAACTGATTTCATAACTGCAACTGATTTCGTAATTCAGTAACTTGATTTACAAGCTTTATTATAAATTGTAAACTTTCTTCATCCAGCTAAATACTTTTTGTTTTATTTTTAAGAGCTGTATTTTAATTGATCTAGTAAGTATTCTTTTCTAGAAAATTGAATTTATTGTATTAAATTACGCGTTTGCGTTTGTTAGGTAATGTTAGCGTTATCCTTAAAATACGTAACAGGGAACAAGTGTGTAGTTTTGTTCTGTAGTTAGTAATTACAAATTAAGATAAAATATTTATTTCTTCCATTTTTTGAGGGGTCGTCCTAAGATTAGACATTTATTGGGTTGGNTCCGGGGGGGGGGAGATACCACGCTGTTAACGTCGACTAAACATTCACACGAGGCTAATATGTTGTTCCCTGTATAGCCGACCTTAATAAACAAGGTTAACTTTCTCAGGGAGCTATTAAGGTCATCACTCTAACTTTAAATATAGACTTGTTTTTATGTCTTTAGTCTGATTCATTAAATAAATTAAAAATATTTTATTCATAGTGATAAGAATGAAAAAAAAATTGCAATAAATATGTTCTAAAACTACGTTCTAATTTGTGCTCGGTACCAGGGCCCTTACTTCGAAGGGAGCCCACCCTAGTAGCTATGGCACAGGAGCAATCGCAATTTCAGATCTTTGATCAGTCCGACCCTGATTGAATGAGACTATTCACGAGTCAGCAGAACGAATAGTTAAAAATTATCTGAACATGCAAGGTACATTTTCTGATTTCATGCTAAATTAAATTAGATAAAATTTGAATCAATTGCATAAACATTTTTAGAGTTAGAAGAGATTGTTTCATAAGAAGTACAATTGAAAAATAGTACTTCTTATACGAAAGAGTCGCGATACAATTTTTAAAATATTAACCTATGTTTATTCATGTGAGATTTAGTGAGAAAAATACATAGGAAATAATACTTAAATTTTCTGTATAGACATGCAAAATGCGTGAATAAATACATAAAACCCTTTTTGTACAGTGCGCAAAAAAAACCCCGACTACCTTGAATAACTTATGATCTAATTGATTGGATCTTCACGTTCTGGGACACAATTTTCGTGGTTTAAGGGGGTGACTTTAAATATGCTAGTCAATAAGAGCAGACGATAATTTAAGTTACGAAAAATATACGACTTTTTAAAAATTTATTTTCTCAGGACTTATTCGACCAATTTTGCTTAAATTTTGCAATTTGTCATATACCCACTCTTATATGATGTAAAACATTTTATACCTTACAATTCAAAACTTTTTCGACTATAATTAATTAAAATAATAAAAAAAAATAATTATTTTGAAAGTTTATTTTTTGCATGGAATTATCTTTGGACAAACGAATTTTATAACTGTGTACAAAAATTTTCGATTCGTTTAAAAAGTTCTCGAGATATGGAGAAATTTTTAAAAAGTAAAATTAACATTGGGGGTTCAAAACTTTACTCGTTTTCCTGACCAAACTATGGGGACCATAGTTCCCAGTTTGCGGTTACCCCTTTATATTTTGGAGACCAGAAATCTAAATCAGTCGGGGGGAAAAAGATACGCTACTTCCGAGAAAATACGTTTTTGTGACTGAATTCGTATCTTAAAATATAGTCTATAGTCTGCACTAATTAATTAGTATGTTTGAGGTCAGCCCCTCAAACCATTAAGATTGAGCTCTAGAACATGAGGATCCCATCATTAGATCAAAAGTTATTCAGGGTGGTCCGTTTTTTATTTTGCTCACTGTACGTAAAATCTTTTTAACTTTCAAACATTCTGATTGTCTCAGGATTGTCTTTATTTAATTCAGCATGAAATGTAAATTAGAAATGTATTTTGACAAAGAAGAAAAATGTATAAAACCTAATGTAAGTAAAATTGCCTTTGGTTTATGATTAATCTTATACTACTGATATTTATTATATCGTATTTGTATCTGTCTATTATATCGTATTAAAACCTGTTTGAAAATTTGCACCACTTTGTATTGTTAAGAGATGTTATTAACTTAATGAAAATATTTTTCTAATTTATTGAATGTTCTATATATTCAATACTTAACCATCTAAGCTATATTTTAAGACTAAATATTTAAAAAAATAAAATGACTTTTTAACTTTATAAGGTAAAAAATAGATTTATTAAATCTAATGTACAAAAAAAGTATTTACACTTTCATATTTACAATCTGTACAGAATACATTCACTTTAGAAAAATGTCTTGCTTCTTTTAAAAGTTAACCATGATGGTGCCCATGATGGTGCCCATGATGATGATGATGACCATGGTGGTGGTGATTGCCCAACAGTTTGGCAAGGATACCTGCAGCTAATAATGCTTCAAGTGCATGATTGTTATGATGATTATTTCCTCCTGCCTCGACGCCTGTTATGGCTGGACCAGGTACCAGAAGTCCAAGAATGAGGACCAAGAAGAAAACAGATAATCTCTTCGAAGCAACCATTTTGGTATGTTTTCTACGGGAGATAAAAAAAGAACAATATGAAATTTAAATATTAGGAAAATTGTTAGTAATTTATTTTAAAAAGTTAGAGATTTTTTCTGAGCCGGGATAGCTTGGTCGGTAGGCGGCTGGACTCACATTTGTGAGAACGGGAGTTCGAATCCAGCAGACAGAAGACTTCTCGTGTAGTAAATGGCGTCTGGTGCACGTTAAATCGGTCGGGTCACAAAGCTCTCCATGTTCCCATAATAAATCATTTCCTCTGGGGATGCTGAATTGGAGATTGGTCATTCCCTGGTTCAGTTCAAAATTACAATCTGTGGATGAATGAATCGATGTGGATCTGCCCTATAAACGGGTGTAACGTATTGATGTGGCAAAAGTCGAATTCATGACCATAGATGGCGCCACTGGAAAAAGCAATCGCACCCCTTTTGACTTAACGGCCGACGACTACAACAACAGAGATTTGTTAAACGCGTGTTTAAAAAGTAGTACATAATTTGAGAAATGAAAAGTTAAAAGGGAATTTTTCAATCCAAATGAAGGTTACTATCTCTAAATTACTGAATAAAAAATTTAAATTAAAATAATTAAAACTGGACAACGATTGTATTAAATGCTACTAACTGAAATTTAGTACCTGACAAAATTTGCGATGAATAATTAATAATTATTTTACGTAACTTTATGTTTGATCCTCTTTCGAAAATTCAAGTACAATGTAAAAACTACGGTAAAAACTACCGGCACTCAGGGTACCAGTACTTTTTTTTCGTAAAAACCATTTCTCGCCGAAACGTGGTACAGAAAAATATCTCATTTTTACTGTAATAATTACCGTAAAATCATTGAATTACTTTAATTAAATGAGCATTATTTTAAAAATGATGGTAAAAATAGATTTTACGGATGATGCATATAAAGCGGTACTTTATCAGCAATAAGTTGATCTGGAACTTTTTACAATGTATTTTCTATCCTTTTTATTTCGAAACATTTATATCTATTTAGTCGACTCTTTAACCTGTATTTTAATATATCAATAAGATTTATTGAACTTTATTAAAAAATTTCTATAAAAGCCTTTTTTGGAGCATTTGCTATTGCATGTAATTCTTTACAATACAAATAAATGTTCAATAGCGTTTCAAATTGCTATCTCTGCTGTGAAACCAACGAGAATTTTAAAAAAAATTATACCTAAATTTAAAGATTTTTATATTTTCTAACAATTCCGTCAGAAATTAATAAAAGTCTCATTTATTAGCTTTTCATGCAATATTGCACAGACTGATTATATATCTTTAAGCATTTTGAACTAGAATTTGATTCATCATTATTTCATTTCAATATCTCATATCTATGAAGTTTGTTGTTTAATTTCTTTTAATGAATCTATGTTCACTTTGGATGCATAGAAATATTAAGTTGTTGAGCTACAAAGAGTTTCAACATATTAAATTAATTCACTAAGTATTGTAAAATTTAGTGTAGAGTATTTTTATGCAACACATAAATTTACGTTGTATATTTATAGTCAACTATAATTATTAACTCCGAAATTTGATTGTTCTCAAAAAATGATTCACATGCTTTTACACAAACTCTTTATAGATCGCTTCACCATCTTTAAAAAATGATCAAATTTGAAGGCTTTTCGTTAGTTTCAACATTATTTCTAAATGTCAAGTTGTAAATTAGAGAATTCCTCAAAATTGCTAACTAACTAATAAATGCTTAAATATGCCCAACGCTTTATTTTGTATTATTTAAATGCGAGTCATATCTCTAAATTGTATTCAAGCTCAAGTACACCCTCAGTTTCTATCAATATTAATTTTTTTCTCAAACGCATTAGACATATCTCAACATTGCGATCTAAGCTCAAGTATATCTGAGTTATCTATGAATTGCTACTCAAATGGTTCTACACAATTTTAAATTGTATTTAAGCTCAAATACTTTAGACATCTATCTGAATCGTGACTCAAATTCAAGTACAGTTGATTTGCTGTGATTCTATTTGAAATACATTTGATTAAACTAGTTTCATACAATACCAGAATTATTTCATTAGAGTTTCAATTAAATTTCTTTGTGACTCAACTGTTAAACTCAACCAAATACTCTCAACGTTGATAAATGGTAAAACTCATTCAGTAAACTTCTCAAACTATTTTTGTTTTTAGCAAAAACTTAAACGGCAAAAATCTAAATCAAACAATATATGCTAATTTTCACAAAGACTTTCTGCGTTTATTTATTTATTATTATCCAAAGCTAAAAAAAAATTTTTTTTATTAATATTATTTGATTTATTGTAAAAAGTCCTCGTTGTTTATCTTTTATCTATGCTATTAAAGTAAAATTAAGTATTAATAATTTATGCATAAAAGATTATTAATTAAAGGAAAAATTAATTATAATTATTCGATACGAAACAACTGTAAATTTTTTGAAAAATAAACTATTTTCACTAAAATAATCCATTTTCAATGTTTTATAAAGACAATTACAGAATAATAGTGGTTTATAACTGAAATAAGTTCTATTAAAATAATTGGTGCCAAAATATTTTAAAAAAATAATAACAGAAACAATTTTTTTTAATTATTTTTCTACATTTTTATTAATGAACTTATTAAAAAAGAATAAAAATGAATTTAGAAATCTTTTTACAATACTTAAAACAAACACAAATTTTTAAATCCTAAAAATTTTTTTAATTTTTTTAGCTATATTAATAAATTTCCTTACAATGAAACCATTCATCAAATTGTAAATATATAATGCATTTTCAAATAATTTTTTTTTGTGGCTTTTTTTTTTGCAATTTGTTTTGAATAAACAATGCACTTTTTTGTCGAAAGAAACTTTATTTAGCAATTTTTTAATAAATTTTTCAATGATTCTCAAAATGTTATAATTCTGAATTGATAATCATGTTTGTAAAAAAGAATTTAAAAAGTTTACACTGGTGTAACATTGTTAAAAATTTTGACTTTAGGCACATATTTGCTTTTTTATTTTGCATAGTTTTGTATGAATGAAACAAAGAATAACTTACTTTTTTGTCTTCGATTGAAGAAAAGAAAGCTAACTGAAAAATGATACTGTTCGAATCATGTGCTCTGGTTTTATAGGATAATGATATTATTATTTTGATGGGTTGTTTCCAGCCGAGCGTGAACTGGTTCTATCACCTGACACGGAACGGAAAGATTTATCGAAGTTAGTCTTAACCTTCTCCCAGTTTTCACTTTTTTTTCCTTCATAAAACAACTTCAAAGACAATTAGTAGAATCACCCACTCAGAAGAGGCTAAACAACTTCTTTCCGCTTACGAAAAAAGCAGATGATTTTCATTACCTTTTTTTGTGGCAAAGAACAAGAATTATTCGTAACCACTAACAAATAAGAATAAAAATGGTGGATTCAAATTTGCTTGAGGGCTTATTTTAAACAATGAATTTCCATAATGACTTCTGAAGATACATTGAATATAGTATTTGAGGAAAAATAATCATAATTTCATATTTTAATCCCAGAAATTCGGAAGTAGTTAAAGTATTATATCGTTAAATGAATAAAATGAAACGTTTCCGGCATTTTTACATATCATTAATATCAGCAATAATGACAATGTATTATGATGAATAGATTATGTAATTAAATAATTAAAAGAAAATATTTCATAAATAGATGAGATACAGTAAAACAAGAAAGTTCTTCGTAAAAACTCGTTCTAAAACATTCTTTCTGTGTGATTTCCCAACGATGTTTTACAAATTAAAAAGCTTAAATATTAAATTGAAAGGCTTGAAAATTTATTGATACAAATTAAAATTAAAAAAGATTTAATTTCTTTTGTCTATTTCTTCTTGGCTATCGAAACAGAAGCTTTATGACCATACCCTTTTAAGGAGGAAAATGAAAATGATCATCAATGTTTTGTCAAGTATGGGAAAAAAATCACTTCTTAGAATTGTTTTTAAATTATTAACAACGCAATCAATCTAAGTCGATAAACGCGATCAATCAAAGAAATGTTCAAGGTTCTTAGTTTTCTTTGAACTAAAACGCAAATTCGTTAAGTAAATAATACACTTAATAAAAGGTATTTATTTAAAATAAAAACTAATTAGAAAATTATTTTGAAACTAAATGTTTAGTTTGCTTGGAAACTAATTTTATTCCTTAATTGTTTCTTTTTTAAATTTTTAAATAAAATGGTTGGGAAATAGATGTCAGAGTAAAAATAATAGTTTGTTAACATAATTAGTCAGATCTTCAAAATTGACTTGAAACTTAATTTTTTTTTTAAAAAAATACAGCCGTGTTTTTCATTTGTCGATTTGTAGATGTTAGTGTTATATTTAGAATAAAAATTGCAGTACAGAAAATGCTATAACTTTATAACTACTTAAATAGACACAACAAAATGTCAGAACGGATCACAAATACCTTCGGGTAACGACCTTAGTTGAGTGGTTTTAAAATAAATAAATTAACAGTATAAAAAAATTTAAAACCTCTTAATTACGTAAAATATTTTTCAGAAAAGAAAAGTTAATTAAAATTTCCTTAAAGTGTCTAAATAAAGAAAAATAATTTTTTTCAAATGAGTGTGTTTTTCTAGTAGTAACTTTAAATAATGTGAAGTTCATTTTTTGAAAATTAAAAATTGTTTTATTATTTTACTGAATTTGCAAAATAATTAAAATAAAGTTTTAAACTTATTTTAGACCTTTCGACGTTTCTACGCGTTTTTTAATTGCTTAAGGTTAAATAGCGGAAGAAAATTTAAAAGTACGAGGCATCTTCGAAAATAACATTCTACAATGCTTTTTTTTTTTTTTTGCAAGTATTTATTTAAAAAAAATTAAAGCCCAGTATATTTTCAATGCAAAACAATTTACACAGCTATAATTTATACACAATACAGTAAAAAATTTTTTTAGTTCATACTATTGTAGATATACAAGTACACAGAACTATCAAGGACGACATTCAAAATTTATTGTACAGAAAAAAAATATTATAATACCATGCAAAAAAAGAGTCAAGCTTATAATTTTTTCTTGCCTTAATCAAAACTAAATTCGTTTCCTATTTTTCACACTATTAGTATTTTTGGTTTTCAGTTTGGTGCATAAATTAATAATAAAACTAAGAAAATTTTTTTTTGTTTTTGTTTTATTTTTTATTTATTTTTTTGTCGTTACATGAGTTTTTTTTTAACGTAACTTATATTTTTTCGCATCTTTGATTTCAAATTGGCAATCGGTTACTCTTTTCAAGTTACTAATTTTTTGATGTTTTTAGTTTATTTTTTGTCGAAATGTACAAGTTTAGAAATGTTATATCGAATAAGGGGTCGCGTAAATGCTGCGACAAACTTTTAGGGGAGTTAGGGGAAATTACCAGGATTAAAATTGCATAAAAACATATGCTTGGAAATGTCATCATAGTAGCTAGGGATGCTTCTCTATTATGATTTGTTTCTTCGTATGCTTCGGAACAATTCCTTATTGGAAAGCACCCCTAACTGCGTTCGACGACATTTCCAGGCAGGGATTCCTAAGTAATCTTAATCTTGATGATGTGACCTAACTTCATTAAAAGTCTGACGCAATAATTACGTGACCCCTGGTTATATAAAAAAAATTTTTAATTTTCCATTTCGACAAAAAATGGACTAAAAATCCAATTCTTTAAAAAAAACTCTTTTGCCGTAGAAGAAAAACTAATTTCAGATTTGAAATCTGCACACCCGAATTAGACAAGATCAAGTATTTATATAAATGCATCAAAAAATTTCAATTCAAAAAACTGATAACTAATTGGAATTAACAAAATAACTGTTTAACACAAAATAAGCAAATATTAAAAACAAATTAAAATTTGTTGGAAGTATATAAAATCTCCAAGATTGATGAAATTATAAAGAATTACATTATAATAAGGGAGATTTCGTAAATTTACGTTAGCTCATGTGCGTTAGATTTTAGTTAATTGCGCATGCTCAGGTGAAAAAAATATCAAACTTAGGTAAGTGAAAATAAGAGATGTCGCTAAAATTCGTTAGTTACAAACGATAAAGTAAGGGAATATCGTTTTAACTTTGATTAGAAAATCAAAAAAACATTTACAATGGACGTAGACGAAATCTTCGTTCAACCAATTGTTGTAATACCATACGAATCATTTCTAAATTGCATTAATATATTTCTTTCAATTCGCTTTTCATGTCCATGCTTTAAGCTCTAAGATAGGCTTAAACAGAAAACAACATTTAACAGCTATAAAAGAGTGCTTGTAACTTTGTCTTTGTAGCGTTAATCACGCCAACATAACGTAAAGATACGTAGCATCTAAAATAAATGAGAGCATGCGCAGTTGCTTAAGTTCAGCAGAGTACGGAAGCTAACGTAAAAATGCGAAATTTCCCTAATATTTCCCTTTGCATCAGTAACAGTTAAGTTAAAAGAATTTGGGCAAATTCGGAAAGGGCCATCTTTTGCATCACATGTTGGGTGAATTTTGAATCAAGTATTCCTCACATTTCTTCCAACAAGAAGGCTACTCTGTCTCAGCTCATGCTTCATGGAGAACGTTACGGTCAGGGAATCAGCTTGGCTAATCAAGAAGGGTCACATGATAGAAGGAGAAACAGTTCAGGACGTTCTTCGATCGGGGCTTCGGATCATTATCATGATGGAAAACGAAACCATGACCAAGATAATTGAGTGTATACGAACGCAAGAAGCTCTTATGAATATTTTCTTGCTAGAACCTATCTCTGATTCTCTGAATCCATATAGGGGGAATAAGGAAACCTAAGTCAAGGTGAGAGATGCATTTCCAATCAGTGACATTTCCACTTCAAATATTTCTATCTTCTACTAAAGATTGCTGCACTTTACCAAAAGCATGGTATCTTCACTTACATTCAAATAAGTTTAAAATAGTTTCGGTCGACACTGGAAAAGAATTGTATTCATCAAACTTGAAATGGACACATTTTGAACTAGTTATGCATAAAAACGATGTATGTTGGAAGGCTAATTAAAATGTTTGCAAATAATTTAAGCACATAATATAAAGTTCGTACATACATAAAAAGATTACGTACAGTGAAACTAAAATATTTCATCGGTTACATAACGTTGAAAGACGTTACTAAAGAGTTTTGAAATAAATCATTTCTCTTTTTTTGTACAGGGTGTTTATAAAAACATAATTAAGAAATAATGAGTAAATAATTTAAATAATTTTGTCAGTTATTATGTTACATAGTTTTTTAATCAAAAATAACAAAAAAAGATATGTATTTGCTTTAACCATAAAAGACATATATTTGCAATTTTCCTCAGGGACAATTAGTTTTACACGCATTTTCGAAATGTTATTAGTACAAAACTGAGATTATGAGGAAAACAATAACTTTTTAAACTTAGATAAATTTCTATCTCAGACTAGAAATCTCTTCTTAGATAAATTTCATTCATTCATTTTTCACTTTATTCAATTATTTAGCTTAGTCTATATTTCATATTATGTGTTTTGTAAAATTTCTTAGCCATCCATTAATCCTTTACTCCAGCCGATGATACAATGAACATGTTATGTAAACATTTTTCATTAGTAACAATGACGGTATGAATTAATCTCAAATATTTCTTTTTCGTCTAATCAATAGCTCATTCCATGTCCCATACTTTGGCCCATGCCATAACCTCCTCCCATTCCTCCCATATGAGAATAGCCCATGTGGGCAGGCATACTTGGCATGCTAGGCATGTGGGCATGGACATTCATCATTGTGGGATGAGTCATGTGATGATAAACCATTGGCATCGGCATTGGCATAATCATTGGGGGATGCATTTGTTCTTTTTCATTTTTGGCTTGAGACAGAAGCTTGGCGAGAATACCAGCCACTAGCATAGCTTCAACATTGCTGTTTCCACCATGTTTATTATGATGACCCATCATTCCATTAACGAATGGCGTTGAAAAGAGAATACAGAGATTAAAAAAGGCCACTAATAAGAAGAAATGTCGATTGTTGATTGAGGATGTCATATTTCTAATTAATTGAAGATGACAGAATTTCCTGTAAATAAAAAATGGATGTTAATCAATTTTATGAAGTATAACTAAGTTTATAATGAGCTGTCATGTCGAAAATTTTATTCCAATATGTAGAAATTTTTTTTTTTT